TTGCAGAATATTCAGGCTGCTTACAGATTAAATGGAAAGAATTTTCTTAAGTTGGTCTCAATTGGTTCGCACATTTTTTAAGGGAAGAGGCAAACTGAGTCATTTGCTCGGTAATGGGCAACAGGGAGACCCTAAGTTTGATGCTTGGGATGAACAGGACTCACTTGTGATGTCTTGGTTATGGAACTCTATGCTGCTCGAAATCAGTGACACATGTATGTATTTGAGTACGACGAAGGAGATATGGGATGCCATGAGAGAAACCTACTCAAAAGTCAACGATGCTGCCCAGATTTATGAAATCAAGACCAAAATCTCAGCCACCAAGCAGGAAAATCGGTCAATCACAGAATACTCTAATCTTTTGAAAGGTCTTTGGCAAGAGATGGATCATTACCAATGCATTCAAATGAAGTGCACTGAAGATGCAGCCATTCTTAAAAGATTTGCTGAAAAGGGAAGAATCTATGATCTTCTCGCAGGATTGAATGTGGAGTTTGATGCTGTACGGGTACAGATACTCGGCAAGGATGATCTGCCAACATTGAACGAGACAATTGCTCTTGTCCTTGATGAAGAAGGAAGAAGAGGGGTTATGATTGAAGCGCACACTGTGGAGAGTTCAGCCTTGGTGTCAAAGGCTAATAACACAAGGAGTTTTGGCTTAGAACAACGCCAAAAGGAGGATAATAGAAAGGCTGTACGATATTTTGGCTCGGAACAACGCCAAAAGGAGGAAAACAGACAGGCTGTATCCTCGAGACAATCCAACAAAGATTCCTTGTGGTGTTCGTATTGCAAGAAACATCGACACACTAAGGAAAATTGCTGGCAATTGAATGGGAGACCTCCAAATATGAACATGAATTCTGCTACAAACGAGCAAGGACAAGCACATGTGGCTCACAGTTCTTCGGGCAATGAAGAGGGATCACAGAATTCAATTTCAGGATTCGACAAAGAAGAGATTGATAAGTTGAAGATGTTGTTGGGATCCCTTGAGAAATCTTCCTCGGCAGGTACATGTTCATTGGTGTTTTCAGGTATCTCTTCTTCCTCTTGTGTTGCTAATGTCTCAGAAAAAATTTCTTCAAAGATGTGGGTGATTGATTCCGGAGCCAGTGATCACATGACCTATTCCTCCAAGTTTTTCATTTCCTATACTCCTTGTTCTAGCAATAGGAAAATAACTATAGCTGATGGTTCTATTACTACTATAGCCGGTCAGGGGGACATTTATATAAACGACTCTCACACTTAAAAATGTTCTTCATGTTCCAAAACTTTTTGCAAACCTCATTTCCATTCAAAAGCTTACCAAAGACTTCAATTGCAGTGTAACATTTTTTCCCTCATATTGTGTATTTCAGGAACATGACACGAGGAGGATGATTGGACGTGCTAGTGAGAGGGACGGCCTTACTACCTGGAAGCCCAAAGTGGAAGAACTAATGTTGAGAATTCCCTATCTACATCATTCCTTTCTGAGTCAGTTATGTCAAATAAAGATAAAGTTTGGCTTTATCATCGTCGTCTAGGTCATCCGTCTTTTAGTGTCCTTAAGTTAATGTTTCCTATGTTATTCAAAGAGTCTACGATTGAAATGTTTTATTGTAATGATTGTGAACTTGCCAAGCATAAACGTGCTTCCTTTCTAATAAGTAATACAAGAACACTTATTCCTTTTTCTCTCATTCATAGTGATATCTGGGGACCTTCTACAGTTCCAAATGTTTCTGGTGCTAAGTGGTTTGTTTCGTTTATTGATGATTGTACCCGAGTAACATGGATTTATCTCCTGAAACACAAATCGGATGTCAGTAGTATTTTTCCCAATTTTTACAACATGATCAAAACTCAATTTGATGTGAGAATTCAGCGATTTCGTTCTGACAATGCCAAAGATTATTTCAATCAGATTCTTTCCCCATTTTTTTAAAAAGAAGGGATTATTCATGAGTCTTCTTGTGTTAGTACTCCTCAACAAAATGGAGTAGCCGAACGTAAAAATGGTCATGTTTTAGATATCATAAGAGCATTATTGTTCCACAAAAATGTTCCTAAACAATATTGGGGGGAAGCCGTTTTGACAGCTGCCCATCTTATTAATAGACTTCCAACTCGAGTCCTTGAGTTCCAAAGTCCAGTTACAATTCTCACTAAATTTTTTCCAAACTGCGACATTTCCAATAATCTTGTTCCTAGAATTTTTGGCAGTGTTGCATTTGTCCATGTCCATTCACAAAACCGAGGGAAACTTGATCCTCGCGCTGTTCGGTGCATTTTCATAGGATATTCTTCTACACAAACGGGGTACAAATGCTTCCATCCACCTACTAGGAAATTTTATGTCTCGGCTGATGTTACTTTTGTCGAGAATGAGTCCTTTTTCCAGCAGTCGTATCTTCAGGGGGAGACCTTAAGTGAAGATAGAGCAAAGGACCTCTCTCTCCTTGATTTTCCTAGTTAGCCCGATTTTCCTGAGTCTCCAGTTGAGTCTGTTTCACCACCTGTACAGCCACTTGTTCAGTCCACTCCTTCTAAGTCTACACCATCGGTTGAGTCACCCACGCCTTATGGAATGATGAAAGATAAGGGGAAACAAGACAATATTTAACCACTGCAGGTTTATTCCAGGAAGAAAATCCTAGTCTTTCGATCGGTACAGGTACAATCTCCTATTCGTACTACTGTTATGACTCCCGAAATTCCTTCCAGACATACTGAAATTATCATACCATCAGCTGAGCCCATTGAACCCGTAAAAGAACATGAAGAACCAAGTGATGTTGAACTACCAATTGCTCTTAGGAAAGGAACCAGAACTTGCACAAAACACCCGTTATACTTGTTCATGACTTATCAAAACATATCCCAAAGCCATAGAGCCTTTCTTAGCAACCTTCATACAATACCCATTCCGAGAAGTTTATCTGAGGCATTAAGGGACAAGAAGTGGGAGGATGCTATGAAAGTGGAGATGGAGACTCTGGAAAAGAACAAGACATGGGAGTTGGTCGGATTGCCAAAAGGGAAGAAATTAGTTGGATGTAGATGGATTTTCACTGTGAAGTACAAGTCTGACGGTTATGTAGAAAGATACAAGGCAAGGTTGGTTGCTAAAGGGTACACTCAAACCTACGGTATTGATTATGTAAAGACGTTTGCTCCAGTTGCGAAGATGAACACAGTACGAGTTTTTCTGTTGTTAGCTGCTAATTTTGGGTGGAACCTACAACAGTTTGATGTCAAGAATGCTTTTCTCCACGGTGACCTAGAAGAGGAAATTTATATGGAGGTTCCTCCTGGGTTTGAATCTAAAGAGGGCATGGTGTGTAAATTAAAAAAGGCTCTCTACGGACTCGAACAATCACCGAGAGCTTGGTTTGGAGGATTCACCAAGGTAATGACTACCTTGGGATATAAACAGAGTCAAGGTGATCATACTCTATTTGTGAGACACTCTAACTCAGGGGGAGTGACAGCTTTGTTGGTGTATGTAGATGATATTATAGTGACGGGAAATGATGCGGAAGAGATGAACGACTTAAGGCGACGTCTTCTCAAAGAATTTGATATCAAGGAACTTGGAAAATTAAAATACTTCCTAGGCATTGAAGTGGCACATTCAAAGCAAGGGATCTTTATCTCTCAACAGAAGTACGTGCTTGACTTACTAAAGGAAACAGGGAAGTTGGGCTGTAAGCCGGTTGACACACCCATTGAATTCAATCATGGACTATGTGATGCTCCAGAGGATCCTGTGGTGGATAGAGGCTCCTATCAGAGACTTGTTGGGAGGTTGATCTATTTGGCACATACTAGACCAGATATTGCATTTGCAGTGAGTATTGTTAGCCAATTCATGCACAATCCTAAAGAGTCCCATCTTAGGGCTGTTCATAAAATCTTGCAATACTTGAAGGGCAATCCTGGAAAAGGTATTTTATTCAAGAAAGGAGAAGGTATGGCACTGGAGGCCTATACAGATGCGGATTATGCAGGATCATTGGTTGATAGGAGGTCAACTTCAGGCTATTGTACTTTCCTAGGTGGAAATCTTGTAACGTGGAGGAGTAAGAAGCAAAACGTGGTGGCAAGATCAAGTGCAGAATCCGAGTTTAGGTCTATGGCAATGGGAATATGCGAACTACTATGGTTGAAGATAGTTCTTGATGATTTGAAGATAAAATGGGAAGGACCAATGAAACTATACTGCGACAACAAATCACCAATCAGTATTGTTCATAATCTTGTTCAACATGATCAAACGAAGCACATTGAATTTGACAGACACTTTATCAAAGAGAAACTTGACAGTGGGTTGATATGCACTCCGTTTGTTTCAACAAAAGATCAACTAGCGGATGTGCTTACAAAGGGACTGTCTGGCACAGCATTTCGAGACATTGTCAGCAAGCTGAGAATGAAGGATATACATTCACTAGCTTGAGGGGGAGTGTTGAATTATGCGGCCTTATTAGAAAACCGTGTGACTATAGAGGATTATGTGTGATTTCCTGATTTCTACGCGATTCTGTTAAGTGTATATTTTGTTTAGATAGTTTCCTATTTTGTAGAGATTTCATTCCTATTCTTTAGGCTGCAGCCGTGTATATATCTGAGCCTATTTGTAACCTATTGGCCATATGAAATAATTAACTTTTTCTCCCAATTGATATTCTGACAATCTTAAAAGCACAAAAGAAGAAATACAAAGAACCAATGGATGTAGCTCTTTTTTAATAGAGTGAATCACTATAAATTTGTGTGTCTCTTTACTTCCGTTCTAACAACAAATCAATACATCTTACAATATACCTAAAAAACAAACACAGTCAGTGGCACAAATCCAAGTATATAACAAGTTTTGGCCGGTTATCCAACGGACCACCGAGATGTAATCCAGCGTAATCTTGTTGATGAAATTCCACCGTCAACAAGTGCAAAATGCCAATAATATATTAATAGCTCACAGCTGGACAGTGAAAGCTACTTACATATAAAGCTTCAAAGAGAACGGGATTGATTTGACCAGCCAAGATGGTTGGTGCCACAGCACAATATCTAGAAAATCATATTAAGAATTTGACGATGAAACCCAAAATCCAGAAAACAAGAATAACACAGAAACTCACAAAACAAGTTTAATCAATGAGCAAGCAGGATACAATAGTGCTCTGGCCCATGTTGTCAAACCAACAGGTTGAGAGAAATAGTAGATTATGGCAACCAAAATTATTGCTGTAACAGACAAGAAGAGAAAGTTAGCCCCTTACAAATTTAACAATCATGAGCAGACACTTGGATAGATAATAATACACTCATGACCCTAGTACACCAGGTTTTACAATCTGCGGTAAGTTCTACTTATCGTCCAACCTAAGACCAGCTGCCTACAAACTCCAACTGACTTAGGATTGGAATGCATCATACAATTTGATCATCCCAAACAACTCCACAATCTTGCTCTATTATCTTCATCTATATCTAAACACCTTTAAAGGTTATCTCAACAATAGATGTTGTAAACTGTACAACAGTTAGATAGTTGTTATAATCAACCAACCCGGAAAAACATTACCAGACTCACATCATAATAACTACTTCTAGTCGCCTAAAATGGTTATTCATGTTCACCAATTGGAACCTTCACACATGATCATCTGAAAATCAAATCTTATCTCTGCCTACCCTCACAACTGGGTTTTATTTTGTTTCCCATCCTCATATCTTTAAGAAGAAATTCCCCTTCGTGTTCTACATTGATAGTCAAAAGACAAATTTTGGTGGAATACCTTGAATCAAAATAAAGGCTAGCTCCCCATAAGCTGAGAACGGAAGTCCCTTGTTGAAACAATATGCAAGAGCAATGGTGTAACCAACTACCTCAAGCTCAAAAGATAGAACACTAAGGCCTCTGATACTTCCATGCTTCAAAATTTTCATTATCTGTAGATGCGAACAATTACAAAACAGTTATTACAGCGTCAAAACAACCAAAAACCTCATTTAATCCGATCCAAATTGTAACTTAACAACAGCAAATATTCAAAGAGATGCCTATACAGTCTTAGACTGCAAGCATTTGAGATTTACAAGAACAATTAATAGTTAATTTTTCAGCATGTAATCAATTAAAGGCTACAATCTTGAACATCTATTTACACGATTCATCGAACCTAGCATCACATCCTGATCCTCCCAATATTGACTTTATAGATCATGAAAAATCATCCAGATTTGTAAACCTAAATTCCTCTTAAGAGTTAGCGAATTCTCGGGTTTCTATAAAATACAACAATTTCAAAACCTATTCTCGAAATCCCCCATTGTTAGAACGAGGCAAACAATTAAGTGGCATGAAGATCCGTCGTGAGTCGACCTCGAAATTAACGATGAAAAAATTTCCATGCAGATCGCCAAATTCAAAAAAGGAAGGAAGAGGGAAAAAGAGCTTAGAGATTACTAGCCTGGGGGAGTTTGACGGTGGTGGAAGCGGCGACGAGGATATAGCCGAGGAGCTTGGAGATCAGAGGAAGCAAGCAGTCCTTTTCAGGAAAGTGGCCATGGCGGAGAGATCCGAGCGCACAGCTGAAATCGATCCCCAAGAACGCCATTTCTGAATCCTTCCTAATACAGAGGTAGTCGTACCGGCGCTGCTTCGTAAGAGCAGCCCCGAAATATCAAAAGTTCTTTACTTTCGCAAAGATACCTTCATTCAATTAGTTAGCATTGGGGGGGATATCAAAAGTTCTTTACTTTCGCAAAGATACCTTCATTCAATTAGTTAGCATTGGGGGGGATATCAAAAGTTCTTTACTTTCGCAAAGATACCTTCATTCAATTAGTTAGCATTGGGGGGGATATCAAAAGTTCTTTACTTTCGCAAAGATACCTTCATTCAATTAGTTAGCATTGGGGGGGATATCAAAAGTTCTTTACTTTCGCAAAGATACCTTCATTCAATTAGTTAGCATTGGGGGGGATATCAAAAGTTCTTTACTTTCGCAAAGATACCTTCATTCAATTAGTTAGCATTGGGGGGGATATCAAAAGTTCTTTACTTTCGCAAAGATACCTTCATTCAATTAGTTAGCATTGGGGGGGATATCAAAAGTTCTTTACTTTCGCAAAGATACCTTCATTCAATTAGTTAGCAATGGGGGGGATATCAAAAGTTCTTTACTTTCGCAAAGATACCTTCATTCAATTAGTTAGCGGGGGGGGGGGGTGCGGTTTTTTTTTTTTTTTTTTTTTTTTTTTTTTTTTTAAGTTTTTTCACCTATCATCAATTAACTTAAGTAACCGACTAAAAATAGATAAATAACTTTAGTAAAAATTGTTTAGATGTTGTTTGATTGGGGAATTCGTTCTCTGATTTAAATCATGATTCGTGATTTGTTACAGTATTTTCTCTCACAAAAAAGAGACGTAAATCTAAAATGATTCTAATCACATAATTCTAATTCATGAACTAAACGTATCCTTAGCTATCTCAAAAATAAATAAATAAATAAAGGTTTAGCTGTTGATTTTTATACTCGTGTCTAATTATCCATGACTATTCGTAAATACCAATGATAGATGATGTTGGAGTGGAAGAGATGCAACAAGCGAGGTTCTCTATCCGAGCAAGAGCTTGGCGCACCACCCGAGTCGTACACTAGGTCCTCACCTGAGAAAACCCTCGGGTCCATTCCCGAACTTATAGTTGGAGTGGACTCCGATTCCAATTTTAACTTGAATCTTTTACAAAACCGCCTTACACAGAGTGATTTGAAAAAAAATTCAAACAACGTACCACATTCTTTCCAACGTTGAACTTTGCATTCCAACCCCGAATGACTCTCCACATGTAGCACCACCTAACGGGATTGTAATTTTTACCGAATTCTTCCGATGTGGACTTCGACTTCCTATTCATCCGTTCATTCGTGACTTGTTGGAAAGAGCTTAGGCCAACTTTGTCCAAATGCAATCCGACATGCCATCACTTACTTTGTTCTTTGACCGAAATGAGAAATGAATGATTTGTCAATTGCTGAGTTTAGAATCATTTACTTTAAAAAATATGGTCCTAAAAATGTTGAATTTTACTTCTTCCAAATAAGGCCGAACATGAAGATTATTCTCCATTGCACTGACAATGAGAAAAGTTGGAAGGAGTTGTGGTTTTTGGCCATCTCCGATGAGACCTTGTCTTCTTCAACTTCTTGTGGTGTAACTTTGCTAGAATTGGAAAAGGTTTTCTCAAGCGATGAGGCCTCACCGGAGATAGCCAAAAACCACGACTTCTTCTAACTTTTCTCATTGTCAGTACAGTGGAAAATAATCTTCATGTTCAGCCTTGTTTGGAAGAAGAAAAATCCATTATTTTTAAGACCATCTTTTTTCAAATAAATGCTTTTAAACTCAGCAATTGACAAATCACACAGTCCTAATTTCCGCTAAAGAACAAAGCAAGCGATGACATGTCAGATTGCATTTGGACAAAGTTGGCCTAAGCTTAGATTATAGCTTTCCAACAAGTCACGAATGAATGGATGAATAGGAAGTTGAAGTCCACATCGGAAGAATTCGGCAAAAACTGCAACCCCGCTAAGTGGTGCTACATGTGGAGAATCGTTCGGGGTTGGAACCTAAAGTTTGACGTTGGAAAGGATGTAGTACGTTGTCTGAATTTTCTCCAAATCACTATGTGGAAGGCGGCTTTGCAAATGATTCAAGTCAAAATCGGAGTCAAAGTCCACTCCAACTAGAAGCTCGGGAATGGACCTGAGCGTACGCTTGGGCGAGGACCCTAGCGTACGCTCAGGTAGCGCGCCAAGCTCTTGCTCGGATAGAGAACTTCGCTTGTTGCATCTCTTCCGCTTGTTTTTCGAAGAAGAGCTCTTTTGTTTATGTTTGAAGTTGGTGGGGTTATCACTAGAAACTGCTCTGTTTCTCTTTTTCAAAGATGATTTTGGTTGGATGTTAATGCTCGGAGTTGTTCTGATGAAAAAGAAGAGACATTGGAGAGCTTGAACCTAATTATAGTGTTCTTCTCTAAGGAATTTTCTCGGACATGTGGAAGGCGCTTTTCATCTCCTTTTCTGCGTGGGCGTTCAGTGATATTGAGATTCCGATCAATCACAAGACTACAGTCATCAGGGTCAGGAATGAAAAAAGAGTCTGTGGAATATGAAGAATTAAAAGAATTTTCGTCATCGGGAGTATGACGAACCGGATTGGCGCAGAGTTTGGTGAGTCTCCGGGGCTGTTTCATGTTGAATAGAACGTCTTTAGCATCGTCCCTGTTTAGTGTTGTCGACGCCGGACCACCGTTAGAATGATTTCCGCCAAAATCCATATCAAGCGACAGCGTGAGGTGAAACTTTTTTTTTCACATTAGCTTCTCTTGCACGGCAACCCTCTCCAGATTTCAGTAGTTGTTAATAGCTAAAGTGGAAAGTGGGAAAATAGGTTAATGAGCGTATGGGACGTTCACATTCAAAATCCAATACTTTTGTCTTTTCTCAAATTTCATCCCACGTTCACTTTCCTTCTTCATTTGCAAATTGGAGTTAATGATCACAAATAATGAGGCAAGTGAAGTTTTTGTTAAATTTGATTTTCCGTATAGTGTTCTAAATGATGTTGAAACAATATTTAGAACACGACTTAATTAATTAAGATATGCGTTAATTATATTCAATTACTCGAGCGGAATAAAGGGTAGAAAGTAAAGAATATAATATGATATTACAGTTTCGTGCGCACACTTATATCTGCAAAGCCACGCCCAGACAGTAAATAGTTTACTATGTTCCAGAAATTACGAACACCGGACGAACTTATTCACTCAAGGACTCTCTCCTAGAAAATGACGCCGCTGTGATGAATCTCCACAGTGATTGTTTAGCGTGCACCACACGTCTTCTATTCACCTGGCGAAATCCATTCAACCGACAGAGCTTTATGCCAAAAGCAACAAATTCCTCTCCCGAAAGACAATTTCAATAACTAACAAGACTCACTAAAACTCACAGACGTCTCTCTAAATATTTTCTCAGTAATAAGCTCTCAAATTCACATACTTTCCCTATGGAGATTTTCTATTAAATCTATGTCACATATACTCTGAAACAAAACTTTTAAATAAACTTAAGAGAATCTCATTCAAATTCACTCTCTATAAGATCTCTATTATCTCTATGATTATCTCTCTTAGATAGACTCTAAGATATCTTCACGTCATATTCTCAATCTCCAATTCAAATTATGCAGCAAACTTTCAAATCCGAATTAATAGCCTCTTGATCTTTCAATGCCTTATCTTTCACTATAGTAAGTCATATTTGGATTTCATTTGACCAAGTCAAATTTCAAGTTCCAATCATATTTGCAACTCAAGCTTAATCTTCTTTGTGTAGCTCACGTGAATGAATATACATATAAGCCATTCAAATTCCAAAGCTCCAATTTTGAACAACTCCTAACGATAATCGGATGAAGCTAAGAATTCGAATCCGAAAATAACTTGATCTCCATACAAGCTCTATCTCCCATTTAAATTTAAACCATGAAACCATATTTTGAATTTTGAAACCAATGCCATATCTTTTCATGCCTATTCTACAGCAACTTCAAATTTCAACCGGCTGCAGCATGATCACAAACACTAAATCTGCAACTCTAACTTGTTTTTGAGTTTTTACACGTTGCCAAATAAATTGCCAACTAATAAAAATATCTAACAATCTCCCATTTTAGCATTTTTTTTGACAAAACTAACAAAAGATCCTAAAAAAATTCGAAAACATAAAAAATAGAAAATTACATTGTTCTCTCCCTTTTTGACAAAAATAAGCCAAAGACACAAAAAAAAAAATTCACACCCTAGGCACGTCTTCAGCAGCTGATGTCATAGATCATGTTGTAACACTTGTTGAAACACTCGATGCAACACTTCGCACTAGATATCTCGAGGGCATTGATCCATGTAGCTTACTCCCCCTGAATCTTCTTTGTGTCTTACTCCCCTGAATGTAGCAATTTCTGAATCTTGCACTTATCACCTGTCAAATGCTTGGACCAACCACCATTACTACACTGACAATCATTAGTACATGTTTCTAAAGAAGTACCTCAAATCAGATTTCCTTACCCACATACGTCTAGAAAAATTATTATGCACATTAATCTTCACGTTATGTGTCTTCTTTAATTTTGCAGAATTTAGTGGATTAATGAGCATACATCTCTTCAAAGCATTTAAATACTTGTAATATCTCGGTCTTATGTGGCCAAGTAAACCACAGTAATGGCATGTGAGGACAAACCTTCTATGTCGAGAGGATGAGATAGTAACCTTCTTACTGGGGGAAGTCGAAGGCTTAGGGGCAAGCGTCTTCTTCACAAACATTGTTTTGGACGTTGAGCTCTCACCAGTATAGCCAAGGCCATGTAAATCACCACTCGCTTTTCCAATCGAGAGAATGTGATCTAATTTTGTGGTGCCAGAATTCATCATCTTCAACGACTTTTAAGTGTGCTCCAATTTAGCTCTTCTCTCCTGCAGCTTTCTCTCCTTTTCAACAACCTAAAATTCATAGTTCGCGGCAGCCCTTTTAAGCACATCTTTCTTTTTGATAAGCTCAACGACTCACTCCCGCAAAGACTTATTCATTTTAACCACCAAAACTCATTTCTTGAACATGGTTTCATATGCCTCCTAGATTGTCTCCTCAATCAATTCATCACTATCGTTGGAACCATCAG